ACTACGAAAAGGCAGAGACATCGAGTAGTAGCTCTGCCCCTGCCGCGACCAGCACGACAGCTAGCAAGCCAAGCTCAACTGGCGACCCTGCAACAACAGAAACCTCAGGCAGTGATGATCAGAAATCAGGCAGCAGCAATCTCGGAGCAATCATCGGTGGTGTGGTTGCCGGTGTTGTCGTTATTTGCGCCATTGTGGGTGGATTATTTTTCTTCATGCGACGAAGACGCAACTCGGAGATCGAAGAAGAGTACCGCCGAAATGCTGCTGTCAATGCCTTCATTAGCGGCTCCAAGCCCCCCGGAAGCAGCGCCGGTAGCATCTCGATGACTGACTCTCGCCTTGATCCTATTAAGGCCCATCGACTAAGTGACGGCAGCATTGCCGACAACGAGGACTACTCCCGGAAGATTCTCAGGGTGAGTTCTCAGATGTGAAAATGCACTCTAACTTATACTAATAAGTTTTAGGTGACCAACGCATGAGCGGTAACCCTGTTAACGAAGCACGAATTTTCCTCTTTCCTTTCATTTAGTCCTCTATCTAAATATACAGTTCAAATCACTTCCCATCACTGGCATCAACGGCGTTTTCGGAATGGCAGCTCGCGTTCATCCGCCTGTCGATTGTTTCGACAAAATGGTGGTTGTTAACTATTACACACGGCGTAGGGGTAAATCTTGATTCGACTTGGGAGCGACTGGATTTGACACTGCACTACACACTTGTCGATTACCTCTATGCCATCCGCTCCTTACACTTGGTTGTTAACCATCCAAAACTGGGTTTCATTCAAAGATCCGTTGGATCCAGTTCTCCGAAAATCCCATCTCCTGGGACGTTGCGGTATTTCAGCGCGCTCCTTACTCTTTGAAGGGGACATTATCCCCTCTTCTTCCAGGCGTGCTATGAGATCGCTGCAAATGCGAGGTCGTTAGATCGTCATCGGAGATGAAGATGGGAACGCGTTTTGGGATATCCAAATATCATGGGCGAGACCCCAAGCAATGGCTGGCAAAATCATACAAACTTGGTCGATTACTTTAGTTTTGTGCCTCTGTCTTTTTTTCATTGAGCGTGGAGGGCTCTGTGTATGTACTACCTAGATTCCGCGCAACAATCAACCAACACGTTTCATATCCTGGCTCCTGAACGTCGCGCGAATCTTATTTCATCACTACTTCTAACATGATGCTGGACTATCCGCATTGGACACTATAACCCTTTGTCATCCGAGTGTAGATCTCCTTCTTAGGCATTGCCCTTTGCTTCTTTCTTCTCTTGATTCCCAACTCTTCAAAAGCACAGCATGTTTCTTCACTTGGCGTTTGGTTGGTAACATAGAACTTGTTCCAAAATACATTAATACTTGATTTTTATCTTTGGCAAAATCTTCAACCAAATATATCTTATTGGCACGAGCTGCATTGATACAACATCGAGCTAGTGCTGGGCAAGTGGCTCTTAGTAAAACAGGGACTATCGAGTCACTTCGACATAATTATTGTGGCTGTCAGTGTCATAAAAATGCTTTCTATTTGTAGTAATACACGACAATGCCTGACGACTACTCCAAGGTTTATCGTTATAGACTTTCTACTCCTGATCGTGGCTTGTTAGAACGTCACAGATCTTCTGCTGCGCACATGCTTGTTTGAGCATGACTCACGTGACCTGAAGAAATAGTTGCGACCGTCGCTAGCTCGGTGTCCGGGCGCGTTTCTCTGAAGTAGTCGCGTTTCGCTACCTCTCCCATTCAGTTCGCTTTGTTTATTTTATCACCCATGAAGTAAATTCAGGTGCAATCAAGATTGTATCGGCTCGTCTCAGAGACCAACGAACTTTCTGGACAATCTTAGACGTTTCGTCACTTCGTTGGATCTACAATGTTGGGTCTGAAGGCTCCGAGACTTCGTCGCACTGGGCAGAATACCCAAGTCACGTAAGGAACCAGGAACAGGCTTTTGTTTTTGCTGGCTGACGTCGCTAACCAGAGTGTAGATACGACCTTGCCCGTCGTGTTAACGATGTTCAAACGTACCCGATACAGTCTCCCCAGGGAGCCAACATTTTCATCTATGGCCATGATAGCGGTGTAACATTGGTCTGGAGGGGCGGCAAGCGGTTCAAGGCGACTCAGCCGGCGCCACTGAATGAGAAGCCCAATGGGTCCTCAGAAGATGCCGTGATGGTGATTGACTCGGATGACGACCAACCAGCTGCGAAAGCCGAAGCCAAAATCAAGTTCGAAGACAAGCCTGAGTTTGAAGACCAGGTCGAAGAGACGCCCTACCCCGAAGTAATCCAGACACTGGATTTGGTCCTCGGCGCTGCCGTCCTTGATGTGGCGGTAATGCCACTTTCCCCGAAGTCGGCTCAAGACACTGCGAACGGTCGGGCTGCTATTCTTGGACATAAAATAGTGTTCGCTGTTTCATGTGTCACAAACGACATTTATCTGATCACCCTGCCACTCACACCTCCATCTCCTGCCGCAAAAGCAAGGCCCGAGTTAAGAAACAGTTTATTTGCGAGCAAGGCTGGCACCGGCGCATGGGGAGAGTCGATCACTTTACTTAGTGGGCAGTCAAAACCGAGCGATGGATTGGCTATTGGTCTCGTACCTTCTGGTCTCTCTGACCGCGCAACCAGCATCAATCGTGTCGTGGTCGCTTCTCATTCTCGTGAAGCATCTGGAGTGCTGCGTCTCTGGGAAACTGCTTTGGATCAAAAGCTTAAACCGGAGGCGTCTGTCGAGCCGTTCCAGACAGAATTCCTACCAAGTCCTCTCAGGAGCGTTTCTTTTAACCCAAGCCATAGTACCCAGCTTCTTACAGTAACGCCTTCACATGGTGTACGCATATACGATTACGCCTTGCCTTCTCTTCCCCCAGACCCCGAAGCGACTGGTCCCTTCCCTTCACAAGGGTCATGGCTCGTCACGTTATATCAGCCATTCATCAGACCTTCATCCCTAAGGAAGCCCATCGTCGATGCTGCCTGGATAGCTCACGGAAAAGCCGTCTTTGCTCTGTTGGCAGATGGGATGTGGGGCATCTGGGACATCGATGGGGCTGATCCTGCTTCTTCTGCTTCGGCAATATCTACCAAACTACAGAGTGGCGTTCGAGGGGCTGCATTGACCGCATTTAGCGTGTCGGGATATGTCGAAGGAACAAGTTCCCTGCGGAGTGTGGCTTCACAACACAAGGAGACTAACACAGGGGAGTTTGCGCCCATGACACCCCACTCTCGTCGCCAAGCTACGAGCAACCTCGGTTTGGCAGCAACTCCTGATCGCCTATCAACGATCCATGGTGGCCTCAAAGTCTTGCCACTTCCAGCACCTGGCCAAGCATTGTTAGACGAGACTTTGGCTCTTTGGCTTGGTGGACAAGACCATGTCTGTGTCATTCCTCAAGTCTTGCGATTCTGGGAAACCCAAGCACGGAAGGCAAGCAGCGGAGGGAACGGTCTATTCACGGGTACTCATAGCTCGCGACTTATTAAGATTCAAGAGCTCTCCACGAGCCTACTAGGCGAGAGATGCTGTGGCGTCACCCTTCTTAGCGATGTTTCCAAGAAGACCGACGGCGCAGACAGTGGCGAGCAGTCGCCCGTCGATGTTCTTATTCGTGGCGAGACCCGGCTGATTGTCGTTCGTGATGTCCAGGCCAGCTCTTCTGGGACACTTGGAGGTCCTATCACTAAGGGAAAGCGGTTGTTTTCGAAGGCTGACCAGCCCAGTGCTATTATCGTGCACGGAAATACTAGGCCTAGTGCGGTCACGTTTAATCTGAGCCGAGCTCAGCCTGGCTCGCTGCGATTCAATCCATCGTTTGCTAATGAGGAAGGCAACTACGATGATGATTCGATGGCGGATGCAAATGAGACGAAGTCACTTCCTCAACCGGGGGCTGGATTTGACTTCATGAACACCTTGAACGATGCTGCTGATACAACCACTGATTTAAATCGAGATGTCGAGGTCGAGATGCTCGATATAATGGGAATTGATAAAGCGCTGGAAAATCTGGACGGCAGCCGAGGGGTGGGGAGAAAGAAGGTTCTTTTTGGAGAGGACTAACACGAGTTGCAATTCAATGACTGACAATCTTAGGAGTGGTTAACCGAAGTGTACGATACCCAAAAAAGAATGAACGTGATTGACGGCCCAATTGTTCGCTTTTGCCTCTGGTCGTCGATAAAATACCTGAGAATTCTCACCTCGATGAACCTCCCTAGCCCACCCATTTCCCTTCCATGGTTTCTTCCCAACTCCCCCCCTTTCAGTTCCGCACGGCAAGGTGAAGCGCAAGGCGAGATCCATCCTTGACAGCTTTGTATTCCGAGCGGTAGATTAAACATCACCCCGATATCATATAAGAGGAGGGAGGGTTTGGGAATTTATGTCGACAACTATTGAGTCAATGCCTTAGTAGCTGATTTTAACTATGCCTTGATACCGTCTATCAAATCTCTGCTGGAGCTGCTCTTGGGAGTGGTCGAGGAAGGCATTCGGATTAGATTGTCGGTTAGCGTAGAATACTTGGTTGAGAGGGCATTGGCACATCGGGACATGCATATCTACACATATTCGTATCAATGATTGTTTTCTGGTTGATAAAAAAAAGATTTTTTTTCCGTGTGCTATTTTTTAAGTGAGTTTATAGCCACTGTGATTCTTCATTCCCTTGGTTGCCAATCGCTGTCTGATATGCGATGTAGATGGCTACCTCAGTCGAAAGGTGGGGCAAATTCAATTAAACACGGAAAGGGCGCGTCATCAATTTCGTCGCGTCCCTCGTGCCGATCCGCGTGCCTCCATGGTCCGTCTGGATGTAATAAAATCGTCGCCTGCACTTTGACTGAGTTTCCTCTCAGCAGACCCCATCCACACAATTTCTACTCCCACCTAACCGTCGTTTTCGTTTTTCTTCCCCGCGTTTCGTGAACGAACCATCAGAAGATCTTCCTGCCGCGACTGGCAAATTGTCACCATGGGTATTAAACAGCTCTTCTCCATCATCAAAGATGAGGCTCCGGATTCCATCAAGGAAGGCGAGATCAAGAATCAGTTCGGCCGCAAGGTCGCCATTGTAAGTACAGCATCACTGGGTTCATTGCGTGCTATCACGGGGAGCTAATTGTTTGTGATAGGATGCCTCGATGAGCATTTACAGCTTTCTGATTGCCGTCCGGTCTGACGGCCAGCAGCTGATGAATGACACCGGCGAGACCACCTCGCATCTTATGGGCATGTTCTACCGCACTCTTCGCATGGTCGACAACGGTATCAAGCCCTTGTACGTTTTCGACGGTGCTCCTCCCAAGCTCAAATCCGGAGAATTAGCCAAACGTTTTCAACGCAAGCAGGAGGCCACCGAGGGTCTCGAGGAGGCAAAGGAGACGGGAACGGCCGAAGATGTTGAGAAGTTTTCGAGGCGGACGGTGCGCGTGACTCGAGAGCACAACGCCGAATGCCAGCGGCTCCTGAAGCTCATGGGTATCCCCTACATCATTGCACCCACCGAGGCTGAGGCGCAATGCGCCGTGCTTGCGAGAGCCGGCAAGGTTTACGCCGCTGCCAGCGAGGATATGGACACTCTTTGCTTTGACACACCAATTCTATTGCGCCACCTTACTTTCAGTGAACAGAGAAAGGAGCCTATTCAAGAGATCCATCTTGATAAGGTCCTTGACGGCCTGAACATGGAGCGAAAGCAGGTAAGCGTGGCATTCTAGCACAATAACTTTATGTGATTTGGCGGGATTACTGACAGTTTGGGATTAGTTCATCGACCTCTGTATCCTCTTGGGTTGCGACTATCTCGATCCAATTCCCAAGGTTGGACCATCCACTGCTCTGAAGCTCATCCGCGAACATGGCTCCCTCGAAAAGGTCGTCGAGGCTATGGAAAATGACCCAAAGAAGAAATACACGATTCCTGATGACTGGCCGTTCCGAGATGCGCGGGACCTGTTTTTAGAGCCGGATGTCCGAAAGGCTGACCACGCCGACTGTGATTTCAAGTGGGAGAAGCCTGATATGGAGGGTCTTGTTCAGTTCCTTGTGACTGAGAAGGGATTCTCCGAAGATCGAGTGCGAGGTGCGGGAGCAAGACTGGAGAAAAACATGAAGAGCTCGCAGCAGGCACGGTTGGAGGGTTTCTTCAAGCCTCTTCCAAAGACGGATGCTGAGAAGGCAGCACACAAGCGCAAGTTGGAGGCTCAGCAGGAGGAGAAGAAGAAGAAGCAAAAGCAAGACAAGAAGGACAAGGCGGCGGCAAAGTCGAAGCCGAGAGCGGCGGTATGAGAATAATGCTGGGATGATGATGGAAAATGGTTTATTATTGACGTTGGCATGCCCTGCTTAGCAGAGCTCATGCCTATCCGTCGGGAGGCCTCGCTCGGCGGTGCATATTGCTTGATTCTCGGGATGAGGCCAGGGTTTGGTTGGACAGGTGTTTTGGAGTCTACGTAACGACAAAGTTGCTCGATTTATACATTATCTTATATTATATGATGACTTCCTCTTACTTTCCAAGATACTGCTCGAATGTCTAGCGGAGCTGTTAGCGTGCTGCTAGGCATGGAGTTGCTGACTCGAATATGTAGTTTGTCTCCTCTGTTGACAATGGTCAAACGGCAGCGGTAATTGCGTGCCGGATCATTTGACAGCTGCTCAGAGCGCAATTTTACTGATTCCCAAACGTTGGGGTTTGCTCCGTGGTGGACATGCGCTTGGCAATACTGAGGCCTCTATTGGGTAGCTGATAAAGCTGGGCCTCGGCATCTCCACAGAAACATACTCTGCGCCAAGTTGGAAGTGCCTAATATGGACCGCCTTCATGACATCACCCCAAGCGCCGTTCGCTGCTTGTCCGGAGTCTGGAATCTGGAGTCTGGACCCTTGCATGTTCTTCCGCCCGATCCCTGTACCGCATGTGGCAGCAGCGCATTTCACATGCAAAGTTCCAACGCGGCCAGTGTACGAGGACGACCTGGGCCTCGCATAGCACATGACCATCAGCAGCCACTGCTTGAGCTCATCCCATGACAGGGCCGGCCATGGCCATTGCGGGTTTTAGGGAATGCCCCAGAGGGCCCCAGAGGTAAAAGTCTGGGGCTTCTTCCATTGTGGGGGTGGAATGTAGGTACAAAGCACCGACTGTTGACGGCGCCTTTGTGAAGTGTCCTAGACATGTGATTGTCAGACTTGCCGACGGGAGGCTTGTCCAGTCGCCGGCCTCCTACAAAAATAACGGAGGATGTCCTATCTTCGTTTAAACTTGCCTCTGTTGAACTGTCCTTTCCATCTCCCCCCCTTAATCGTGCCTCCCCATTATCTTTGTCGTCATGTCTAAAGTATTCACAGCTGCCGACGTTGCGTCGCACAACAAGGCTGACAACCTATACACTATCATTGATGGCGATGTCTACGACCTCACCAAATTCCAGGATGACCATCCAGGTAAGTGCCCAATGCAATGAATGAATGGGAATACTCGCCCCGTGACCGTATCTTGCCTGGGTTTATGTCCAGTAATACCAAATACTGACTGATATGCCCCGAATAGGTGGCAAGAAAATCCTCCAGCGTGTAGCAGGCAAGGATGCCTCCAAGGCGTTCTGGAAATACCACAACGAGGGCATTCTCAAGAAATACAAGGGGAAGCTGCAGGTCGGATCCCTCGATACAAAGCCCAAGTCTGAGCCCAAGGCAGAACCACCTGTCCCAGCCCCCAAGCCAGCACCACCCGCTGTCAAGGCTGTAAAGAAGGAGGAGCCAAGCAGCGAAGAACCCGCAGAGCCCCTCGAGCCCTTTGGCCAGCAGATTCCCTTCGCCGATCCCAACTGGTACCAAGGCGTCAGTACCCCGAGCCCCCTCTTGTCTCTGCACATTCACGATGACTGACTGAATTATAGTACCATTCACCTTACTTCAACGAGACACACGCTGCACTACGGGCTGAGGTCCGTGAATGGATCGAGAACGAGATTGAGCCTAATGTCACAGAGTGGGACGAGGCCAAGCGTGTGCCGGAGGAGATTTACAAGGAGATGGGCCGCCGTGGCTATCTCGGCGGTCTGTTGGGAGTCAAGTATCCCACAGAGTACACCCAAGCCCCGGCATGTGTGCCCGTGGAGAAGTGGGATCTGTTCCACGAGGTTCTGATCACCGATGAGCTCTCCCGGACTGGCTCTGGCGGCTTTGTCTGGAACTTGATTGGCGGCTTCGGCATTGGCTGCCCGCCTGTGATGAAGTTCGGCTCCAAGGCCCTCAAGGATCGTATCATGCCGGGCATCCTCAGCGGCGACAAGCGTATCTGCTTGGCCATCACCGAGCCCGATGCCGGCAGCGATGTTGCCAATCTGACCTGCGAGGCGAAGCTCAGCGAAGATGGAAAGCACTTCATCGTCAATGGCGAGAAGAAGTGGATCACAAACGGTATCTGGTCTGACTACTTCACCACCGCTGTGCGAACTGGAGGGCCTGGTATGAACGGTGTTAGTCTGCTGCTTATTGAACGCACCGAGGGAGTCAGCACTCGCAGGATGGACTGCCAGGGTGTCTGGTCGAGTGGCACAACCTATATCACATTCGAGGATGTCAAGGTTCCTGTTGAAAACTTGCTTGGCAAGCAAAACCAGGGATTCCGAGGTATGTTTACAACTCAAAGAGTTCCCCAATTCATTCAAGCTGGTTTCATAAAGCTGGAATACTAACGATTTCATCTCTTAGTCATCATGACCAACTTCAACCATGAGCGTATTGGTATCATCATCCAGAGTCTGCGCTTCGCGCGCGTGTGCTACGAGGAGTCAGTCAAGTACGCTAACAAGCGCCGTACATTTGGTAAGAAGCTTATCGAGCATCCTGTCATCCGCATGAAGCTCGCGCACATGGCTCGCCAGATTGAGGCCTCATACAGCTGGCTTGAGAACCTCGTCTACCAGTGCGAGAAGATGGGTGAGACAGAGGCCATGCTGCGTCTCGGTGGACCCATTGCCAGTCTCAAAGCACAGTCCACCCTTACTTTCGAGTTTTGTGCACGAGAGGCCAGTCAGATCTTTGGAGGCCTGAGTTACTCTCGTGGTGGCCAAGGTGGCAAGGTAGAAAGGTTGTATAGAGATGTCAGGGCTTATGCCATCCCTGGAGGTAGCGAGGAGATCATGCTGGACCTGAGCATGAGACAGAGCTTGCGGGTGGCCAAAGCGATGGGAATGAAGCTATAGGTAGATTACATGGAGTGGGCAGGGGTGTATGAGTAAGCAGGAGTTCATTGGAGACATTCAGCCATCTTCACATCTAGAATGGGGAAATTGAGAGACATCAATATTACTTTCCAGCCTGCATTGGTCTGGACCTAGGTATCAATTGTTCTCGGCTTGGCCGTTGCGAGGTTCCAATCAATACGCCTGCGCTGCTCACTAAAGAGCCCCATGCACACGTGACCAAGAGGAATTGGGCTGCGAGTGCTTTCAGGTAACAGAGTGCACAGACCTCCGAACATGTCAACTTGATGGAGCAGCCCTGGCCAATCAGCAGCCGGAATCGATTTTAGAGAGAAAGCTCCTTCATCCTGGTTCCAAGTCCACTGATCACACACAAGTTTACTACCCTCAACCCACTCCAAATCCACTTACCTTCACGAGATCTTCACTCCCAGCGCTCAAACACACGACTCTAGGCCCTTGCGCCGCGCAAACGACTACGCATTCACGACCACAACTTCGCGATCCGGGAAACGGCCGTTCTTCCATCCACTTCCACCATCTACTACCTCCTCCCTGCAACACCAACGCACGGATTCCCTCGACTGCCACAGCCATTCTACGACTGGGACGAATCCCACGGCTGCTAGCAATTCTTCCTCGCTACATAATATCAACCTTCTCCCCTCAGAACAGTTCGCGGCGACTTTACACCGCTTCACATATCCCATAATGTCCGACCAGCTAGCAGATAAACTGAAGAACGCTTCACTTAAGTACGGCACCACAAAACGTACCCGGTGTCTCGAGGGTTCTGACTTTGACTGACTGTGATTTGCATCAGCGATGGGCCAAATGCTGGGAGCGATAACTGGAAACAAAATTTGAACCTTCCCGCCAAGGATACTAGGCAACAAACCGAGGTGAGTCTCTGGCCTCTTCTAGCCTTCTCCCCAACGTCTTCCCCGCGCACCACAACCGAGTAGTAGCTAACGAGGCACTTTCTCAACACAGGATGTCACCAACACAAAAGGCCTCGAATTCGAAAACTTTGCGCTAAAGCGAGACTTGTTGATGGGTATTTTCGAAGCCGGGTTCGAAAAGCCCTCCCCCATTCAAGAAGAAGCTATTCCTGTGGCCCTGACGGGCCGCGACATCCTCGCCAGAGCCAAGAACGGTACCGGAAAGACTGCCGCCTTCGTTATCCCTGTCCTCGAACGCATCAACCCCAAAGTTACCAAGATCCAAGCACTTATCCTCGTCCCCACACGTGAGCTTGCCATGCAAACATCCCAGGTATGCAAGACTCTAGGCAAGCACCTCGGCGTAAACGTCATGGTCACAACTGGTGGTACTGGCCTTCGAGACGACATCATTCGTTTACAGGATCCCGTCCATATTGTGGTCGGAACCCCGGGCAGAATTCTCGATTTGGCAGGAAAGAATGTTGCCGACCTGAGCGAATGCCCCATGTTCGTCATGGATGAAGCCGACAAGCTCCTCTCGAGTGAATTCACCCCCGTTATTGAACAACTATTGCAATTCCACCCCAAAGATCGCCAAGTCATGCTTTTCTCTGCTACCTTCCCGTTGTCGGTGAAGGACTTCTCTGACAGGAATATGGCCAACCCCTACGAAATTAATCTCATGGACGAACTTACCCTTCGCGGTATCACCCAATACTATGCTTTCGTTGAGGAAAAGCAGAAGGTCCACTGCCTCAACACTCTTTTCTCCAAGCTCCAGATCAACCAATCCATCATTTTCTGCAACTCCACCAACCGTGTAGAATTGCTTGCAAAGAAAATCACCGAGCTGGGTTACTCTTGCTTCTACAGTCACGCCAGAATGCAACAGCAAGCTCGTAACCGAGTTTTCCATGACTTCCGAAATGGCGTCTGCCGAAACTTGGTTTGCTCTGATCTCCTTACCCGTGGTATCGATATCCAGGCTGTCAATGTGGTTATCAACTTTGATTTCCCAAAGAACGCCGAAACTTATCTGCACCGTATCGGTCGTTCCGGTCGATACGGCCACCTGGGTCTGGCCATCAACCTAATCAACTGGGATGATCGCTTCAATCTCTACAACATTGAACGAGATCTCGGAACCGAGATCCAGCCCATTCCTGCGAGCATTGACAAGAGTCTCTACGTCTACGAAAACCCTGAAACTATCCCCCGCCCTGTTTCGAACCTTCCTCCACGGTCAAGCCAGCCCCAGCAGACCCAGAGACTTCCAGGGCCATCTCCTCAACAACTTTCGCAACAACCCCAGGGTGTTTGGCAGGGCCAACCCACTCACCAGAATGGACACTCGCAACATTTCAACCAGCAACGGGGCCGTGGCCGAGGTCGCGGTTACCGAGGTCGTGGTGGAGGTGGTGGCCGGGGACGAGGTGCTCCACGTGACATACAAACCTAATACTTCATTCCTGCATGAATGGCAAAGGCGAATGGTGTTTTTTGGGGTTTCTTTACTGGCATTAATTTTGTACCGGGCTCACTACGATTGTTATTTTTTCTTCTTCTTTTTACATTGTTGGATTGTACATTATTCGCCCACTTATGAGCGAAAGGATGGGAACGGCGAACAGGTATCGGTGCTTGCCTTCTTTGCAAATTCGTTCGCTACGGCCGACTGGTTCTCTTATATCTCGACATGGACCGAAAAGATTGAGCATTGGAGGCGGAAATCAGGACATACTTTGGATGTCCACGCACCACTACAAGCTGGCGAATGGTCTTTTCAACTGACCAGCCTCGGCATCTTCAAGCTTCGATATATGTTATTTCCTTTGCTTCACGACTTTTACATATGACGACATAGAGGGGTAAGCAGACCTCTGGTTGTGCCATTGAGGGCTGCGAGGCTTTCTTTTATTCTAGCGGCCGGAGCATTTTTAAGCGATAGTTGCTGGGTGGCTGTCGACTAGAGAACACTGGCGCTGATGAGGAGTGCGGGTATTCTGACATTTATTGGCTCAACGCTCATCCATGATCTTACTGCTCACCTGGTGTGGAGAGGACATGGAAACTGCGGACGCGAGACGCTTGGTGTCAAGGGGTTTTCTTTTCCTTTGGTTTGGAGGTGGGGCGAATAGTAAACGGTTCTGATACCTATGATGAGGAACGTCTCATATACACACAAAACATGTGTTGCTGCTCGGCATGCGGCGACACACACGCGCAAAGCAGATACTTTTTGGGGGAGCGGAGACGACATGCTTCCAGCAGTGGTCATATCTCGAACAGTTAACTGACAATATTTCTGGCGTGTGCTCTGGACAAGAGTCATGCTGGGGGTGGTTGCATGTAGCATCGAGTTATCGGCAACTGTCGAAATGGATGAAACGAGGGGATGATGAGATGATTGGTGACGAGGTCCGGGGGGGCCGATGTGGAATAAAAAAAAATCAAGGAAAAAAAATATTTTGGGTGAGAGCGCTGGTTTGGCGAACTCGTCAACTCTCAGACCAGTCAGTGTCTGATGGATGTGACATCCACAGACTCGTGGCTGGTGGGTTCGGGAAGTCGTACTGAGCAGATGAATGAATATTACCTCTTTCTCTCTCTCCAATCCAATGGTGTAAATTTGTCTTGTTGTGATGGGACATCGAGTCCAATCTCTGCCTTCTCACGCCCCATCTGAGTCTAAACGCGTGGAGAAAACCCAACAAGACTCAGAGTGATGTTTGTTTCATTCTGCTTATCCGGACGATGATTCTGAAATTTTCGCTATCGCAAGAGGAACACACGAACAATGAAATGACAAACAGTATCTATCGCACATACTCTCACAAAATAACCCCTTGCCAGGAACCCGTACACTCAGCCTCTATCCGCCGACCATCCTTACTTACAATCGTAGCATAGAGAGCGGGGAGATACTCTACCACAATCCAGACCTGCATCGCGGCCCCTGATTGTTCTTTAGTAGTGAAGGTAGCGGCTTGTTCGTGCCCCTGATCGTCGAGTCCTCCGAGTTGCGAGCTGGCTGACGCGTGGTTGGTGGTGAAATTGGTCGGGCGACACTTTCTGGCCAAAGGTTGAGCCTACAATGGGTGCCTAGTTCGACGTAGGGGAAAGAAAGAGCAGTATGAATTCATAATCCTGGGTACGGTAGGAGTTCTCACGTGCCTGGCTGTAGTTGGTGTGAAGGGGTGAAGTGGCGGTACGAAAATGGTAAGTGTTAAGCATTGAAATCATTGGCTGGCAAGTTGGTTGAAGTCCCAGAGGCTGTTCATAGAATCAAATTCTCATAAATGCATTGGGATAAATCACTTGTTACCAGCAGACCGGCACATTACCGATAATGCAAGCCATTTCCAGTAGATGGTCCGTACCAGTGTGCTGAGCGATGCTCTGGAGAACATCAACAACGCCGAAAAGGCGGGCAAGCGCCAGGTCCTCCTTCGCCCATCCTCCAAGGTCATCGTCAAGTTCCTCGAGATTATGCAGCAGAACGGCTTTATCTCGGAATTTGAGGAGATAGATGATCATCGGGGTGGCAAGATCGTGGTCCAGCTGAACGGCCGGTGCGTCCCAGATCGCCCTCAATTGGACAACCCATCAGTGACACAAGGAAGTGCTAACATGGTCATTCCTAGGCTGAACAAGTGCGGCGTCATCAGCCCTCGTTTCAACGTGAAGCTGAGCGAGATCGAGAAATGGACTGTCCGCCTGCTCCCGGCTCGTCAGTTTGGCCACGTTGTCCTCACGACTTCTGCCGGTATCATGGATCACCAGCAGGCCCGCCGAAAGCATGTCTCTGGCAAGATTATTGGATTCTTCTACTAATCGATGCCTGATCTCCAGTTGCGAGTCTGTGAAGGCTTACGGGATAAATATCTGGTCGTGTGCGTAGCGGGCTAGATAGGTTAGAATTGCTGTGTTAAAACCAGTTCGACCAATAGCTCGATTATCAAATCAAGACCAATGCAGTGGAGGATTACTCTACTTAGATTCAAAACTGGCCACCTCCCACAACGCTGTAGCTATCTCCTTGGTGCACCAATGGCTTCAAACGCGTAGTTGTTCCACTTACTTACCATTGCGGCAGCAATATTGTGATACTCTAGTGCTTTATGGATTATACTAAAGACTGTGGTAAAGCTTGCACAAATAGACTACTATCGTCGACTTCTTACGTACCTGCGTGGCTGCGTAGTAGCCAGCTTGTTAAACATCTCGTAACAAATGTCTCTCCCTCCACGTACATGGCTGTAAAGGTACAAGTTAGAGCCTTACTTAAACCAAGGGTATGGGTAGCTATCTATTCTTGGCGGAATGAGTGATACAATCCTGGCTCCAGCCGTATACTTTGTCACAGTGTAAGTGATGGTTCCTTGTCACTCCGAGCCTGCCTTGCTCAGCGCAGTAGAAGCATCGAACATGCTGTGGGCGACCAGTTGCCTGCAAACTCTGCATTTCAGGTTTGCGTTGCACGGTCAGATAGCAACCCGCCTTGGAGGGCCAGCTCGAGCTTGACACGAGAAGAAGGCGAGTTATATAATGGTAGATTTTGGTGAGGGATTTATATACCTGCTTAGCAAAGAACGAACAACAATCAGGGATCCACCCTTCCAGGGGTTCCCTGACAGAAACAGCATGGTCTGGTGGTCTAGTGGTATGATTCGCGCTTAGGGTCCACCCTAAAGCATTGATTGCGCGAGGTCCCGGGTTCAATCCCCGGCCAGACCCTTCTTTTTGTTTCTTTTTTTCTCAACCATTAAGATAATGATTGTTACGTACGTACTGTTGTTTGTTTCTTCAATTTTTGGTTGGGGAAGACAAGGCTCCATACTTGGTGGGGTAGAGATCACTGTTATATGGAGCTTATTGTGCGTATTATTCTCTATCTCTATGTAAATCGGTGACCGAAAGCCCATTACAGAGCACCAAGTCCTACCATTGCCCTAATTACGGTCGCAATGGGCGGAATAGATGTGAAGAGGACAGTCACCGTGCCGAACAAAATCATGGAAAGGCTTGAGAGGGCTGCCGCTCTTGGATCGGTGCGGAGGAGGAGAGCTGTGGCAATGGCGCTCGAGTTGACACCGAGCGTGATGCCTCTTGCGACGTACTCGTCTGCAGTTTCATAAAAAATGGTTAACACGCTAGCGATATTCATAAAACACCCCATAATTTGACCGAAATAGAAGGGGAGATGTTTTGACTTTTCCGTTGATTTCCCCCGAGAAAAGACAAGCAGAGTAGCTTACCTTCAGGAATTCCCAGCAATCTCAAAAACCAAGGCCCGCACACAACACCAAGGATGCCGCTGATGATAGCCAATGCCGCCGCAGTGTTGACATCACCTCCCAAGTTCTCCGTAGCAGGCGTCGCCAGCGCGAGCGTCAGGCTCCGGCTCGCAAAGGCGAGGCTGCGCTGGGCGGTGATGCCGATGGCGTAGCAGAGCGGCGGATAGGCGAACAAGGAAGCGATGGAGATGGAGACGTTGGGGATTATGAGGGCGGCCCAGTGGGTGCGCAGCTCTCGGCGATGCTGGAACATAGGGAGGGCGAGGGCCGTGATACTGGCGTCGAGGAGGGTCGAGAACATGTCGCCGGCGCCCGGGAGCAGAGCAGCCTGCCCCGGGGGATGAGAGGCCTGGCGCCAGAGCTGGATGTACTTGGCGCCCGTCCGGTACTGGTGCAGGGCCGAGGTGAGGGAGGATCCGGCGGTGGCGGCGAAGGCCCAGATGACGAGGACGGTGATGAGAGAGGAGACGAGGACGGGATGGAGGTAGGTCTTCCAGCGCGATGGGAGAGACGAAGCGGCAAAGTAGGCGAGGACGTTGATGGCCAGGTGGAGAGGCATGGCGTAGCCCGTGGAATAGTACACGGGGATTCCTACGAATAGAAACCACAGCCCGAAGATGGTGAAGTCCATGTGGGATACCAGAAGCGCGGCCCAACGCTCAGGCCTGGGTGCTGGTACAGGAGCCTGGGTGTGAGTAGGAACGAGGGCGTCGAAAACATGTTCCGGAGCGACATGCTCGCCATGGTGATGGCCCTGAAGACGCATCTGTGGTGGTGTCTGTGGCCGGGACGGTATTGGCGACTCGATATCTTCTTCTGCTGATGGTGCTGTATAATGGGAAAGGCTCGGTGGCCCCGACTGTTCAGACAAAGCCGCGCTGTTGTCCGCCAGAAGAATCCCATCACTAAGATCCTCAGCTCGTTGAGTGCGACCTCGCTTTGATTTACCAAGGAGAAGCTGTACAGCTCTGGTGAGGTACGCTGCCATGGCCATCATAATGAAGAAACCAATCACTAAGTTGTTTATGATTAGCCAGTTAGCTACAAGAGAGACTTCAGGAGCATCTTACAGAAGACTGCGATGATTTTCAAGACTTCAACCATGCCGATTGGCGGAGACAACACCAGAAGCACGAACGAAGGCGTGAAGAATACACTGATCCATTGTAGAGACCATCCAGCCTGCATTGTTCATTAGTGCTACCTCGACCGCGCAAGAACAGCGGATACATACCGAAATATCAATGACAGATATGAGCCGCCTCGTTCGGTGGCTGCCAAGGGTGAATTCTGAAATGATGAGACCGACAAAGAGAAGTACTAAGCAAAACACCGATGCTGGGAATGAAACATTGGCTTTTCGAAGCAATGAGTCAACACCGAAGCAAGCGGCCAAGTTGACGAGAATGCCAATCGGGACAAGAATCCATGATCGAAACAGCTTGTGTGCGGAAGATGTGATTGCCTAGAAATTGTCACTACGCTGTTTTCCAGTGTATATCCATCACCATCCCGGGAAGCCATCTTTGATCTCTCTCTCTCACACAAACACTCATATTTTGAACAAGGGATCTTGAAGCACTTACAATCTTAGCGGCACCGAGTCCATCACATAGCACCGCGGGTGGCTTTGTGCTGCGAAGCCCGGACATCTGAATTGATTCAAGCATCGCACCACGCGGTTTCAAGCAATTTCACAGGAAAACATCAAGTGCAAACAGGTCGAAGATGAGTAGCGGCAAAGGATAGCGCGAGGCGGATGACGGAGCAGCTCCGGTTGTCCGCCGAACAGACCCGCTCACTAGTCGGTCTTATCTTCGGATCAAGCACCGACCTCAGATGCCAGATTCAGTTGATTTAGCTTGGCAGGTCCTCATTGTCTGATCCCTGCCGATGACTCAGTAGCCTACCGAGGAGAGTTGCGATATGTTGTGGGCACTCCCCTGGCGGGCTTGAGGTCTAGATGAGAACAACTACCCAGCTAAGGGAGCAACATACAGGGATGAACTACTATAAGACGTTGCGGTAGTTTCATATAAACCTGCTAGAGGGTGCAGGGTCAAAACTTGGTGGGGAACAAAAGAAAATCAAGGCTCGCCTTTTCATGAATTCATCTATAACCGTTTCATCCCGCGAGGGACATGATATTCTATTTCGCCTCACCCAGTTCGTAAGAAAACTGAGTCTCCTTCAAGCAAATTGATACTCCTTTAACCGCTGCTTAGTTCGCAGCAAGCAAGTCAAACCTCAGCTCTTTGTGGCTTGCAACCACATTGTCCGTCCCTGAGCTCCTCTCCCTTTGATTGCGAAGCGGGCAGAGACAGAACCAAAAGGCCAAGCTCTACTCCAGCGAGTCTAGATCTTCCGCAAACACACCCGCAGCGACTCGACCACCCGCGCGCTCTCTTCTCTCACGCCCTTGCACCGCTCGCACTCGCCTATAACTTCTTGATCGATCTTCTTGTATACGTACCGGCCGCAGTCGAGCGCGCATGGCTCCGTCCCCACGAACAATTCGGAGCTGACGACCCGTCGGCAATGTTCCGTCCGACATATCAGAGTGGCAAGGTTGTTGAAACACATCTTTTCCGTAGAAGGAGTGAGGTTTGGTCTTTTTTCCTTGGTGATGTGAGTCACCAGATGTCTGTGGTTTTGAGGCTGACGATGGGTTCTTTTTTTCTTTGCAAGATGAAGAGATTTGGAGGACAAGTTTCTGCCTTTTGGGGTTTATCCTGGAGATGCCTTCGCCTTTATAGATTTCCGCCTGGTCGCTTTCTGATAGGCGGCTTCTTCTCCTTTGTTCATGTTGTGGGCTGTGAAGCCGCAGAGAGATAAGAAGGGGTCGAATGATTTGAATAAGAGTCTCCAAAGCGTAGAGCCTCGACCGGGGAACGTACGATGTAAAACAAGTCAAGTGGACGTTGATGTTCTAGCTTTCTCTGAAACCTTCAGTCAGTCATTGTTTCCCTTTGTTTTATTAGGCTCTAGTTGTTTGCGCACTTCCGACGCACCTCAGATACAACCGCCTTTGTCCATTGTTCATATCGGGAAAGAGCAACAACAGGGACGGGGGACAAAAGACGGAAGCTAATTTAGAAGAGAACAGTTTAAAAAGGATACAGATGCCTAACAATCTAACGACAGAAATCAAAGTGAATCCTGCACGTTTTCCTCGCTTGCCGCGCCAGTGAATGAGGAGTGTTCAGCAACTTCGACGGGGCGCCGGATGATGTCCCCCATGTAACATGATCGGATGCTACTTCCCGTTTCTAGATACACGACGAGGCAGGCTGCAGAGCCATCGCCCAGTAACAGATAGTTTGGTGAAGCCCAACGGCGGGATTACATGCATACGTACATAAGAACCGTCCGTCTTCACTGAACAGCGGGAAGGTAAGCGAAGCCATACTAGACTATTCATGAATGTACCCCTTTCCAGCGCTGGCGCATGGGCATGAGGCTATCTTACAACAACATATCAACGGACGTGTCGAAACCTTGCTGCGTGAGCCGATTCTCAATGTGGGTGGTTATGGAGGAATGGAACACAGAGCATGCTTTCCAATGCAGCAGTGATGAATATCTACCCATTTGTCTCAACCCCTCTCCCCCAAGAAAATAACGCCATGAACCGCCAGAGGAGCTCCAAAACCAGATAAAAAGAGAGAGAAAAGTATATATATGCCTATCGTAACACATGCTTCTTCGTAGATCACACAACGTTCCTGTACACTAAGCCCCTAGGTTAATTCTCTATTCCAGCTTCCCCCTTAGCGCATCAACTTCTCTCTGCAGGGCAGTGAGGTCAGCCAGGATCGAATCGCCATGGCCAGGTTCAATGTCATGAGGCTCTTCTACCAAACTAGGCACAGCCCTGGGGGTCCCGTCTACACTTGCCCTCGGCATTGGTCCGTCCAAGCTGCTTTTACTACTGCCTCTTTTCCGAGCTGGTGGGGGAGGTGGTGGTGCACCATCTCGGTTTCTACTTTCGCCGGACACAGTCCGAGAAACCGACGGCGTATCCACGCTAATGATACTGGATGGTCGACGAGTTGATGGGTTCCGTGTAGGTGGGCGAGGCGGGGCTTGTCCCTTTGTATGCCCCGTTTGAACATCGTAGTGGTTAGTAGATTGGCCAGTCGGTAATGATACATCTGATGACGACACTGAAGGGCCAAAATCATTGTAGTTCTTCGGTGCGTGCATTGGGCTTGGGGGGATCTGGAAGTTGGAAGATGTTGGTGACGGTTGGAGACTGATTGGTCGGAGTGGCCGTCTTGGTGGTGGAGGAGCAGGTGCCGCTGAACCGCTCTGAGTGCGGACACTGTTTGAACGCGTGGGGATGGAATCTGACGATGACCGTGATTGCAGATCATCCTCTTGGAGCCCTTTCGCCGATATTCCCCCCAACGATAATGGTGTAACTTTACTTTCCCCCCGAGAATGGCCTCTCCGGGGTGGAGGTGCAGGTGCAGGTTTCTTGGCACTCTGAAGGTCCTGATCCACAACCTTTTCCAACACTGCATCGGGTTGATGCTTTCCTGGCCCTGGAAGTACATTTGAGGTCGAGTTTTGGACGTTGTTGCCGGTTTCTAGAGCTTCCGGCGTATCCACTCCATCTTGGACTTCCTTAGAACCACGCCTGATGCTTTTCCCATGGCGAGAGCTCGGTGGTGGAGGCGGTGCCTTCTTTCTGGATCCAAATTGTACTGTGACACTCGAGTCCGACACCTCGTCCTCGGGCGTGTGTTGTGAACTTGCCGCTGAGCTCCTCCTTTCTGGCGCAGAAGGTCTTTCGGCCTGTGCAGCGGTCGTGCTAATGCCAAGCCCACCATCCCCGTCGACCTTTCCAGTCATGAGCAGGCGTTGAAATGAGTTGACGTCCAGGGAGGCCCTGGCCTTGCTCGCCGCCTTGAGAGCTGCGCCCTCGTCTCTGCGCTCCTCCTTCAGGCCTTCCTTCTTCGCATTCTCCATGTCGTGCAGCGTCTTACTGAACGGATTCGCAGGCGGAGCTGCATTCTGGCGAGGCTGCAGCGGCAGCTGCAGAGGAAACTGTGGTTGTTGCAGTAGTGGGGGCAGGGTATCGCGATCGGTCTGCTCATAGAGGCCATTGCCGAATGGATCGTTGGCATTCGGCGAGAAGACTGGCGCCGGGTTGGAGGGCCATTCGGGAGAGTCGGGCGATATGGGCGGAGGTGAGAGGACGCGGACTTTCTTGACGACCTTGGGCTTCTTCTCTGCTGAGCCCGAGGCTTCCGGGGAGGTGCGAAAGCTCGTGTGAGGTGGTTGAGGGGAGGGCGTGCTGGCGGGGGAACCGGTGTCGATTGGGCTGGCCGTCGAGAACCTGCTCACGAGATGCGATCCCTTGCTGCGGAATGGGTTGGACGACGCCATGTCGTGCCTTGGGAGGAGTGAGATTGGCGTGCGGAACTGATGGCTAGCTGGGAGTCGTCAGGGCATGGAGGGACGCAGGTCCCACGCCATCATTCTACTTGGCCAGGTGAGATTGGATAGTAATATCCCCGGCCGAGTTTGGGAGAACGAGCGCAAGGAACAGCCCTGGGAACAACCAACGCAGAGCAGAGGCGAGGGATCGAATATCTGACACTGGTCTGCACGCGAATGATATGCACCTAAATACCGGGTGGATGGGATGGGAAGAGCTTGGCTGCTGCTTGTGCCACGGGGAAGGTCGTTGCGGGTCCGTCGGAGGCACAGCGCTGGGAACTGGGGATATGCGGTGGGCAGGCGAGACGGATGGATGCGAGGCAGTAGCTGAGTTGCACGAGTACCCGAGACTGTCACCAGGCTTACGCAGAGAGCCCAGTACCGCACTATCCTGCGGCTCTCCTCCACTGCCCGTCACAAGCCAGTGCTCCAGCTACTGGCTATCTCACCTGGCATACCGATCGCTAGGCCAAACTCAAGCTGCTCTAAAAAAGGACGACGCCTCTTTTGCTCTAATGAATGATGACATGTTTTGACGCGTCCATCTGGTGGTCCCGCGCCCATTAGCTTGCTACCCTATATATCGCAGCCAGCACTCCTTGGAGGTTCGCAACAAGAGGATCTCTGCTTTGAATATACCAATGTTTGCATCTAGATGCGCGTAATTCCGTCGTAGTATGTGTCTGTAGCTAGCTTCGGTGTGTTGTCGCGCTCGGGGCTCTCGAGATTCCCGGTATGCCAGCACATGAGGTGATTTAACCACTACTACAAATGGCGGGGTTATTACACTCATACCTCTCTGCCCATACCTCCCCAAGGTGTCTCCCAATGAAACGGTTCTTGAGTACTGGCAATTAGAATAACGTAATACATGATGATACTTACTCCCTTGCCTCGGAAATTATTACAGTACCTGAGGTGGCATGCAAATGTCCCAACCGTCTACCTCTATTACTGAAGCCTGCACACCGGGTAAGCAATGCGGATGACCAGTGCCTCGCATTTACTGCTGTCTAGGTAATCTCGTGCATATTCCCACCTTTGGTTTTTCAGGGGCCCCTTGATCGCACTTTATTATTGCCCTACCGGCGACCTACAAAAAGAAAATGAAGTTTTGACTGGAAAGGAAATTTAGAGATCGCGTGACGACCAGTATCTGGATAAAGCACACAGCAGCTTCAACCTACCCCTCCCGAACCAGCCGCGCGAGCTAAGCACCGGTCAATCAGCGTTGGTATTTGTGGTGGAATTGCGTGGCAGCTAGTAAAATTAAGTTTAAAAATAGTAGAGCCCGTTCCTCTCATGGAGACATGTGCCGGTGTTGCGCCACAGGGTCCGGGAATGTGGCTGGTGTTTACCGGTCCACACCGTCTGTGGCTGGGGTCCAGAACCCACTACGCGAGACTCCCGACTTACACCACGCGCGGCAGCAGACAGCTGGCAGAATGCCACGCATTACGTGCAATCACGACGCTATTTGCGGAGCCGTGCCGTGGGTTGGTGGCGACCGTTTCGTCTTCACATCTCCCTCCTAGACACCATTCACAGGATTACGAGATTCGTGTTAAAGTATAGCCCTCCAAAACGGACGAGCCTGCATTTGCATTTCCTTCCTACCGCCAAACGACCTCGATATTGCAGCCAAAAATCTTGGACGGTGAGGGGGCCGCTCCAGAATTGCCCAATTGCAGTGCGCCACTCGCAATATATAAATACAAGCAACATCCCGGCAAAACCAGCGCCCAACCCAACGCGTACGCGCATCAAAACATTGCCTTCGCTTCCCTTTGCTAACACAGGACCTAAAAAAAACCTACTTCAACCCAGCCCTTTCCCAAAAATCGAATGTGAGACCATAACGCCATGACCAGTCATTAAGCAGCTTCATCGGTTACCACAGAACAGAGCGTGTTTGACTTATGCCTTGGCGGCAGCCTTCTTGGGCGCGGCCTTCTTAGTGGTGGCCGTTGTCTTCTTGGTGGCAGCAGGCTTCTGGGTCTTGGTAACGCGACCAGACTTGGTCTTGGTGAGAGTAGTCTCGGGCTTCTCGGCCTAATGAGAGTCAGTACATGGCTACTGGGAGGGAGACGTGGCAAGGGACTGACCTTGGCGGCAGCCTTCTTAGGAGCGGCCTTCTTGGGTGCAGCAGCCTTCTTCTCAGTGGCAGCCTTGGTGGTCTTGGGGGCGGCGGCCTTCTTGGGGGCAGCAGCCTTCTTCTCAGTGGTGGCCTTGGTGGCAGTCTTCTTGACTGCGGTCTCCTTCTTGGGAGCAGGGGCGGCCTTCTTCTCCTTCTTAGGCTCGGCCTTCTTCTTGGCGAGCTTGGTACCGCCAGAAGGACCCTTGGGCTGCTCGAAGATGTCCTTGTCGACACCGTTCTTCAGGGCCTTGTTGAACAGAGAGTCGAACATCTTGTCCGAGACGAGGTTCAACTGGTTGTTGGCCTTGACATACTTCTTGAGAGACTGACGGCTACGGGACAGTTAGAATGGATGGATTGACAGACGAGGGCGATGATCAATTAAAATAATTGTGCTTGACATACCTTGAGCCATTGCGGTCCTTGAGCTGTTGGGGGCGACGCGTTAGCAAACATTGCATGATTCATAATGAAATTGGTGTGGTGGATGCGAATCCCCTCAGTTGGTTCACAGGCCACCATCATGCGAGCGGGCGCCGACAGGATGGGTGACCCAGAAACGCGCAATGCGCCGGAGGGGCAGGAAGCATAAAACATACGTTGATAATAGCATCAGTAATCATGTCCTATCATCTCTCTGTTAGACAACGTACTTCTGATTGCGCCGAGGAGAACAAACCTGGTAGCTGGCGTGGCTGGCCTTTGCCTTGGGGGCGGCGGCGGCCTTCTTGGTGGTAGCAGCGGGGGCCATTGCGTCGGTTGGGAGTTGTGTTGGTGTGAGGTGGTCTGAAAGGGGGAGTGTCTGATATGAGAGACTGTGAAAGTCAAAGGAGCAGAAGAAGATCTGGTGATGAAGAGACGAGTTTACAGAGAATTGATACGACAAGCAAGTGACCTAACTCGAGGGGCAGCGCTGGGCGCGCGACGAGGGGATGGGGCTTGTTTATATATCAGGCGGGGCGCACAGTCACAATCAGTAATAGCTCTTACCCTCCCGGACCCCCGGTCCAGAATCAGTGGGAATTTAGAAAGAATGATCCACGACCCACCTGCGTCCCTCTGCCTGTCTGCCTGTGCTGGGCCCTGGCCACGACTGTTTCTGGACGGTGTGGGTGGGCATCCTTTGAGGGCACTGCATGCCCGTGCGGCGCCGGCTGATAGCAGAACTGCTTGCTGCCACACTCCACCCGAGCTGCCTTTTGGGTTGGGCACACGGCTGCCGGTGCTGGCGCCACAGCTCAGGCGGCCCTGTGCTCAGAAGTGCGCGGGACGCGACAGTCGCCAGCACGGGCTGGGCCAAGCTGCAGGATGCTTCAGCCATAATACCACACCAGATGACATCGGCAAGAGGAGCGGAGCGGTGTCTGGCGCTAAGTCAAGCTGCTGCCCGAAAATGGGAAAATGATACTTGGAGCGCGTCCCATTTTTCTGATTGGTCGAAGCTCTGCCGTCACGTCCACCCTTTCTTTCGTCCATCAGAGCCTTTGGGGTGTGATCTGATTTGCGACAACACATGGACGAGAGATGCTGCCCTCCCCCATCCCCCCAACACCCGCCCTCTCTGCGTTCCCCTTCTTCTTGCTCTTCATTTTTGCTACCCTCCATTACGAGCGAGCATGGACGAGTCATTTTCTGCTTCTTTTGTTTTGTTGTCCCCATCCCCTGCAAAAGTTCTGCACTAGCGCTCATGGTGTGCGACATCTGTTCCTCTGCATCACCTCGTCAAGGTTCTTGCAGCTAGACGCCGCCGCTCATCACCTCGAGTCGCACATTCTTTTCCCTTCCCAATTGAAGACTGCCACATGTACCGTGCATGCCAAAGCCGTAGCTTTCTTGTAATTTGCATAATTGTTTTCATTGCGATAAGAAATTCCCTAATCCTCTCAGGAATCTGTCATGTGTGTGCGAAAGTAGCCACCAGGTCTTGGAGGGTGAGGGCGGGCGCAAGTCTGGACCAGCAATCTGAAGCCATCACGCAAATTCAATGCATCATAGATTGTCCCCATCGTGCGGCTGTGTTCCTGGAAAACGTGTCATTTACCTCATCTTCAAGTGTAAATAAGATACTTTCTGGGTTGTCATAGTTTTATTTTCCCTTGTAACCCGGATTGTTGGGAACTTCGTCGCTTGACCTCGATTCTCGTGAGTGCGGTGATGAGGGGTCGAGACACACCACTCGCGCGCAGAACCTGCTCTTGCCACAATCTACCGAATGGATCGCGAGAAAGTGATTGCGGGTTATTGCCTTGAAAAATCTCATTTGAATTATATACAATATGTTATTGCTCTAAGCAGCGCGTGGCCTTCCAACATCGCTGTCCCGAGCCATTTGTTCTTTCGCTCGACGCGACCGTGATTGCGCCCGTCGCCAAACCAAATCTCGCCAAGCAACAGTGGTTGCGTGTCTTTTTCCCGTTTAAAGGCTACAGTCAAATGACCTTTTTCTTGATATCCTCCCTTTATTATCGATACTCCAGCCATTCCCTTTTCGTCATCGCCTCTTCATTTCTGTGCCATCTCCACGGGCGGTATGTATGGGATTCCAACAAGGTTGGTGTTGAGCAGTAGAGATTGCCACCAAGGTGTAGCCCAGAACCAGAGAATCCAATCATTTAAAAATACGACCTTCGATTATTCCTTCCCAGGCAGGCGTCTTCCCTTGTTCCCTCGTTTGAGCTTTGGGTGGCCAGATGCCATCTGGACGACAGGGTGACGTGTACTGGGATGCGCACTAGCTAGAGTATGCTGAGACAGGAGTAACCTCAGCTGCATTATCTGGCATGGCTATAACCCTTTGAATCACTGAATATACGAGCTTCTATTTAAATATTTACTAGGATTTTTTTCTTTCCTGTATCGGTCTTGGTTGGCTCATCCCCTCAGACTTTTGTTGACACGAGAGTGATCTAATGAGGCGGCACTGATTGATCACGTGGGTACTTGTCAACCTCTGCATGGAGAGCAACGGAGAGAGGGAGGCTACCGAGTCCTGATATTGGTAACCTGTTCTTAATCAGGAGCCTAATGAGACATATTATTTACATACATGGATGGAACACGGGCATTACTTCAGTATTGGGGCTGAACAGAGCCGGCTTCAGCTGTGGCTGGCGGCAATTCAATCTACAGTATGATGCGATTTCCCTGAACCAACAATGAGAACTGCAGAATATTCCAGATAGACATTACATAAAACACCCATTTCTCCTGGAACCATGATCGAAAGAGATACAGACGACGTGGCGGGATGTACATAGCTGGCCAAGCAACTGGAGGCTCTGATATCTGCGTTGGACCACAGTGCAGTGCACAGTGTTAGCATACAGGGCGCACTTACACAGCCACCAATCAGAGGCGGGCGGAACGTGGCCGCCTTTCCAGATGGGAAGGGAAAGACCGACCCTCCTGCGCCCGAAAAGGCCAGCAAGGCAGGCGCTAGAGAGGGAGAGCTCAGTCCACATTTTAGAGGATCTCGAGCCAGGTGCTGGCTTCGAACTTGGAGTAACCTCCTTCTAGGCAAGCAGCTTCGACCAAGCCGGTGGCTCCATTTTGGTTGTTTTGTTCCCCTCGGCAAGCATGAGGAGCTTCTCGACCTTTTAACAGTTGTTTTTGCTTTCTCTTGCTCTTCACTCTCCCATTCTCCCTCGCTGCGGCGCGTCGAAAAAACCCCCCCACCCCGCCTTCTCCTATCTCATATATATATGGTCGATCCCGCGAGATTCTTCGCGCACCCTGTACCCTCGACCTTGAACGCAGAGGCCCCCGAACATGGCCGACTACTCCCAATTCCACGCCCTTGGCCAGGGCGAGGTCATTGATCCCAACGATCCCAACCGAACGACCGCGCCTGCTCCTCAGCAATTCCAGCAGCACCCCCCGCACCCTCAATACCAACAACAACAACAATTTGGAGCTCCCCAGTTTCAGGGAGGAGTATCTGCACAGCCAGGAGGGCCTCCAACCCCCCGTTCCGCATATGCCTCGCCGGTACCTCCTGCGGGATTTCAGTCGCAAGATGCTGCGCTGGCAGGACAGATGGGAGGGATGAACCTGGGCGACGGCACTGGCACATTGCGAAAAAAGAAGAAGGATAGGCATGCATACCATATGGTCGAGGCAGCTGGGTCTTCGCAACCTTTTAGTGGAATGCCACCACCCGGCACTCCCACCTCACAATTTCTAAACAGCCCAGCAACGCCAGCCGCTCAGTTTCCAGTACCCGGGAACAATGCCTACACACCTGGAGTGTTTGCTCCTGCTCCTGATGTCCTAGGGGTCGGAGCCAGAGCCCCCGATGCTTCTGCGACGATTTCAACATCTGGGCCGAGCAAGGTCACAGCCGATGACCTACCCAGCGTCCCAGCCTCGCGTGACAGTGTCCAACAATACTTCCTGAAGAACGTTTATCCCACCTTCGAGCGCCATGTACCCCCACCTGCTGCGGTATCCTTCGTTGCCTTTGACCAAGGGAACGCCTCCCCCAAGTTCGGCCGACTGACGCTCAACAACATCCCTGCTACTTCAGATGGTCTTCACGCCAGTGGGCTTCCCCTCGGGCTTCTGCTCCAACCTCTGGCTCCCCTGCAACCTGGCGAGGCTGAGATACCCATTCTCGACTTTGGGGATGCTGGCCCTCCTCGATGCCGACGATGCCGCGCCTACATTAACCCATTCATGATGTTCCGGTCTGGTGGTAACAAATTCGTCTGCAACTTGTGTACACATCCCAACGATACGGCGCCGGAATACTTTTGCGCCACAACACCTCAGGGTGTACGGGTGGACAGGGATCAGCGCCCCGAACTTCATCGTGGAACTGTAGAATTCGTGGTACCCAAGGAGTACTGGACGCGTGAGCCAGTGGGTCTGAGGTGGCTATTCCTTATCGACGTGACGCAAGAGTCGTACAATAAGGGCTTCTTGGAGGCATTCTGCGACGGAATTCTCGCTGCTCTATATGGCGGCGAGGATCAGGAAAAGGATGAAAACGGCGACACAAAGCGAAGGATACCCGAGGGAGTCAAGGTTGGCTTCGTAACATACGACAAGGATGTCCACTTCTATAACGTTCAGGTGAGTCTCGTAAGCAACATGAAGGCTGTGTAATTATTGCTAACACGCACAGGCTGGATTGGACAGCGCCCAAATGATGATAATGCCCGATCTTGAGGACCCCTTTCTCCCTCTTGGCGAGGGATTGTTCGTTGACCCATACGAATCCAAGTCTGTAATCACTTCTCTGTTGACTCGCCTGCCGGAGATGTTTTCCAAGATTAAGAACCCCGAGCCGGCCCTGCTGGCTGCGCTTAACTCTGCTCTAGCTGCTCTCGAGAAGACTGGCGGAAGAGTTCTATGCTCATGCTCTGCTCTGCCCACCTGGGGACCTGGCCGGCTGTTCATGCGGGATGATGGAAATCACCCAGGTGGCGAACTTGACAAGAAGCTGTATACTACGGAGCACCCTGGTTGGAGAAAAGTAGCAGAGAAGATGGCCTCCTCCGGCGTTGGTTCTGATTTCTTCTTGGCTGCGCCGAACGGCGGATATCTAGATATCGCCACTATAGGTATGTTAATGTACGAGGATATCCTGAAAATGGAGCCAGCACTGACGGATGATAGCACACGTTTCCGCTACGACTGGCGGCGAGACATATTACTACCCTAATTTTATTGCTCCTCGCGACAGTCTCAAGCTATCTGGGGAGATTACTCATGCAGTCACGCGAGAAGTTGGATTCCAAGCCCTGATGA